AATGAACATTTCAGTAACCGAGTCAATTTTGGTTCGGTATCTATGACTTTGAAGATAATTAAATTGTCGGTTCTATAATATATTTTTTCTTTTCCATTTATGTAATTTTGTTTAACTACATTTTGTCATTTTAATTTTTTTTTTTTGTAATATACATTATTTAATTAAAATTTGGCCCCACCTCAATGCAAACGCTAGATCCACCCCTGCCTTTGATCAAATAATTAATTGGTCGTCAGATGTCTGGACTCTGGATGGGAAGAGCTAGAACCAAGATGGCTTAAAAGCATAGCAAGTAACTTCAATTACCCATCTTAATATTATTACAATTAAAAACGTTAGTCAAATACTCCCTCCGGTTCTGAAAGATTTTTACACTTTTCATTTTTATCAGTACCACAATTATCTTTACACTTCTTTATTTGCCTTATTTGACAAATAAATCTATACAAAACAGTGTCAAACAGTGCCAAACAGTGTACTCTACAGTAAAGTCAAATTTATTTCCTTAAAAACTGTGAAGTCAAAGTGTCAAGATCTTTTGGAACGGATGGATGGAGTATATGCTTTGAGTAGGCTTCTTTTCTCCAGTTCTAGATCCAATACTTTAAACTTATTTTTTATATCTTAACCCAAGACTTATTTAAACAAATTCTTAACAATGTAATGCGTTGAACCGCCACAATCATAAAGTATCAAACTTTTAATTTAAAAATGTTGTTCCAAACATTTTTTTATTTTTTTTAATTTAAAAATGTGTGTAATGTGCCGCGTGCTCTCCTAGGAGTATGCTCCTTTAATATTTTGATCACAACTTTAACTACTTTCTCAGTTTCTCCAAGAGCCCCCCCCCCCCCCCCCCCCCCCCCCCCCCCACATCTTCTGCCTTTGTTAAAAGTAACTTCGGCGAAAAAAATCCTTTCCCAATGAAAAGAAATTGAGTTTCTTATACTCCGTAAATACGTAGTAACAGTAACTTTCTTTCTCCAATCTCCACTATTGAAAGAAAAAAAAATTTAATTAATAAAAGAAAACTAAATTTAAGATTTGCGAAGTAAGAAGTATATTTGTTAAATTTTCATTTTCTTTTACACCTGAATCCAATTTCATTGTAGTTACAAATGTAAAAGTGAAAGCAGCAGTGCTACAAGTCGGCAATGTTAATTTCAATAATCAAGATTTAATATTTACAATTTAGAATAGTCAATTAAAAAAGAGATGCTAATGGATTGCTATTTTCAGTTAACCATGTATCATGAAAGGCTTATGTTTTTAGTTGGAATGATTTCAGTCCTAATCCAAACCATATTTATCCCTGGTTGGATCACCCACTCCATGTTGGTTTTTTCATTAGCTCTCAACTTTGTACATCTCAGTTTCTTTCTCCCAGCTCTTAAAACCCATATCCCTAAATGTCTCTATTTATTGTGTTCATGGACACAAGTTAAAGTTGAGCAAGGCCAAGGAGTAGAATTTGAGTATGATTTTACACCACATATTGTGACAATTAGATGAAGGATGAGCAAAAAATGGAAGTGTGATCTTAAATCGTAAAGAAACTCAATTGTTTGATAGGTTTATGTAGAGCCCGTAACATTGAAATTGGCTGAATTGATTGGTTCTGCTGAAATCTATGAAATTCTGGCTGAAGTGGTTGTATTAGTTAATTTTGTTTACTTATGAAAAAACTATATTTAAAATATTTGTTATCAATAAATAAAATAAAAAATTATATGAAAAATAGCTAAAATGATCTTCTACATTAACTTCAACCAATACAAGCAGAAAAGTAATTGCAATCTTACTTTTTTTTATTATTACACAATTCAGCGCACGAAATTTAAAGCTACGTGTTTAGTAAAAAAGTTGACTGATAAACCTGACAAGTCGAAAAGGGTCACCAAATTCCTTGTTCAAATTTCTTCTTAAGTGGTGTCTAATGGAACATAATTTGTAACAAAAAACTTGTTTATTTTAAATTCCTTGTCCCACTGAATGAGCTATTGAACCACAATATTTTAATACTTCCTCCGTCCCTGAAATAAGTTCCAACTTTCCTTTTTGGACAGTCCCGAAATTAAGTTTCCACTTACTTACACTTCCTTATTTGACAAATTATCTACATCAAAACAGTGTAAAACAATGTCAAACAGTGTTGAAACAGTGTCAAAATAGTAAAATTTACCTCCTAGTAAATGTATTTCCTTAATATGTGTGAAATTCATCTGGGAACTTGTTTGAGGGAGGGAGAGAGTATTTCCATTGAAGTTTTGTGGTTGGTGGACTTTACTACTTTAGGGCTTTTTATAAAAAGTTCCCACATCCATGATTATCACTATGTTGTGAATTGTATCTAGCTTTTTTTCAACTTTTGAATTTGTGGCAGTAATGTATTTTTTCTATGTTCATCCTGAAAGATTTGTCATTTTAAGTTAAAACATTGTTCTATTGTTTTCATTGATAATATAGGCCTTAATGATATCAAATAAGCATATCATATACTCCCTCCGTCCCCTTTTAAATGTCCCATTTTACCATATTGGGATGTCCCTATTTAATTGTCTCATACCTTATTTGGTAAAGTTTGTGTGGCTCAAAATCATTCTTACTTTATTCTTACTTTATTCTTACTTTATCTATTAATATCAACCACACAAACCTACTTTTCTTAAAACTCGTGTCACTCTCTTCCGGGACAAAAGGGACGGAGGGAGTATACCGTAATATTTGAAATTTACTATTGGTGATTTGTTCAAGCATGTCATCATACGCGTCTACTATGATATACTCCATAAGTTTAAAATATACGTAGTATTACAAAAGAAATTCCATTTTTGAACCTGTGAGCATTATACTGATTGATCCACGTCTTTAACTTTGATCATTTTTTGTACATGAGTATTGTGTTTTCGTCCATATATGATCATTCAGTCAACGTTTTTGACTGTTAAATTTGCCAAAATAGGACCACAAATGGTTAAGAAGCATTAGTCAAAGATCAAAAGTAGATAAAGTGAAATGTATAGACTGAATGTGGAATTGACATAAATCCATAGGACTAAAAATGGAATTAATTCTATATTTGCATACATTTTCTAGTTCAGTTATATTTCAATTTTATATTTAAAAAGTTGTGTCATAGATAATTAACGGTCGTTTCTCCATCTAGTTAGGGTTTTAGCTAATCCGCCGATCAGATCGATTGAGCGGCTCTTCGGTTTGGGGTTTCCCCTGCTACGAGTTTCTTGATGCGAACAAAAAGCAGCAATAGAAGGTCATGGGCGAAGCTTGGGCTTAAAAGCTGGAATAGATTTGGATTCAAGGTTATCTGTGATTGGTGGTGAAAGTGGAGGCTTGACAGAAAACATGATGAACAATTAAGAAGAAGGGTGAGGCAGGGTGAAGAAGAAGCTGCAATACTGCGGGATCAGTTAAACCCATTACATGATTAACAAATTTTATTGCTTCTACGGAGGTAATAAATTCTAAGTCATGTTTGAAGGTAGAACGGTAGACATAAGATTTTTTGTCATTTTGTATTTTACTCGGGGTTTGTTATTGTTGTGATATCAATTTAAGCCATTTCTTCAGAAAAAAAATTATAAAATTGTGTCCCAAAATCAGAGTGATCGCAAAAAATTGTCCCAAATCAAATTAGGGCACTGGACTCAGGTATAAGTAGGGTTGTAAATGAATCAAATAATTTGTGCTCGATTCACGATTCAAATTCGTATAAGCCGATTCGAATTCGGAAAATTCAAATACAAATAAGAATATTAAATTTGATTCGAGTTGTTATCAAATACAAATAAGAATATCAGTGTATTCGATTTGAATATTAATCAAATATAATCGATTAAAAAATGGTAATATTAATGTCAACAACAATAATAATAGTAGTAATAACACTATAATAAATTTTAAAAGACAGCAATATCCTCAAAGTGTAGCCCATATATGCACTTTTGCATATAGATTCCAAGTCCATTTGTAATAAATCAGAATATAAATACGAATACAAATTAATACTCCCTCTGTCCCGCTAACAATGGGACAAGAGGGAGTAGCACGCAAATTAATAAAAAGTGGTTTATGTGGTTTACATTGAATTGATAAAATAAGAATAAAGTAAGAATGATCTAGAGCCACACAAACTTTACCAAATTTGATATGGGACAATCTTAGTGGGACGGACCGATAAGGTAAAATGAGACAATCATAGCGGGACGGAGGTAGTACAATACGAATAATTATGTATTCGATTTGAAGAATAAAATTAGAGTTGTTTGACTTTGATATATACAATTATCAACTTATTTTAAACATTATAAGTATATTTTCTAATGTGTTTGTTAGTGTTTATTTCAAAAAGTTTAAAATAGATTTATATTTATTAATCATAAAATTAATTCACTTTAGTATATTGTGTACCATGTAAAAGTGCATTGATCCATTAAATTTAAATTCTAAAAACACATATCAAGTCATAGCATGCATTTACACCATAAAAAACACAGAGTATAAGAAAAGTTATTTTAGAGTGATATTTGACTAATATTTAACTAATGCTCAAATTGATTCAATATTCGTATATGATTCGTTAACTATTCATATTGTTAAACAAATACAAATAGAAATCAAAATTAATATTCATTTCATATTTGAATTTGAATTCGTATTCGAAAAAATCAAACAAATACAAATACAAAATCTCATTATTCGATTCAGTTTGTCGTTTTTAGGTTTTAGGGTGTGTTTGGAACCGATTCTAATTCTCCTTCCTTTTTAAAGCAGAATCAGAATAAGTTTTCAGAAACTGGTCACCCCCAACTTCTACACTTTTATCCAAACACTCAAACTTTCTACTTCTGCTTCCCGAAAAAGCAGAGTTTTAAGAATCAAATGCAAATGTCCCCTTACTCATAAACGAACAAAATGGATAAGATGTCCCGTAGCATTTGGATGCAAACCTTTCATGGTTTTTGATTTTCTCATCGTAGATAGGCACTTCTGTTCGAAGGCACGCTGCTTTCTATACTTCGAGTAACGCTAATGGCATCCACGGGAACGGCTCTGTCACTGAGTTCGTCTTCATTCCTTAGCAATTGCAGTGTAGGCAACAACACGCCGTTTGGAACTGCAAAGCTTTCACCGAAGACCTTAAATTTCACCATTTTTTCTCAAAAGAAAGTAAAAAAAGTGAGAAAGGTAAGACGGAACTTTCTTTCTATGCATTTTAGGTTGTCGGGCTTTCCATGTTTTCTTTTTCAAATTCCGCATTTTCTATATATCTGAACAGAATGGGCTTTTGTGTTGTCTGGAATTAAAATTGTTTGATGGCACAGATAATACTGAAAGAGGATGTGCAAGACTTGGGGGAGAAGGGACAGCTCTTGAAAGTGAGAGCAGGTTACTACAGGAATTACTTGCACCCTATGGGCATGGCTCAAATTGTCACCCCTGAACTTCTAAAGTAAGGTTTCTGGATGTTTAAGGGTCTGTTTGCAAAGAGGGGTTTGGAGGTCTTAGTCTTTATCCTTGTAAATGCTCTGTAGAGGATGTTTCTAATAATGAATAAGAGGTGATGGAAATGTATATCAAGATATAGCTAAACTAAGCCCCCTCCAAAACCCTCCATCCCAACAGACCCATAGTGAATGACTTAGTTTTCATCAATCATTAAAAGGTTAAGCTGAAAAGTGATATTTGTCATGGATTCAAGTTTCTTTCTTGTAATTGTTGACGGTATGGCTTTTACAGTCTATCATAATTTCTTCCACTGTTTGAGTACGGACTGAAAACTGACATTTGCATTTGGAATAAAATTGATTTTTTGGATTCTCTAATATGAGTACAATTTACCTATAAAGATTGCACGTTTCATCAAATACATTATAAGTTGGAACATATATGATATGGATAAAGGTTTGAAAGATGGATGAAGATGATGCCTTTCACTTATATAGGTTTATTTTATGGCTTACTTGTACCCTTTAAAGTCAGTTTCTTGAAGATGCTACTCAAAACCAACCATTATAATCCCTTTTTATAACAAAAATTATATTTATTTTGGTTAAACATCCTGCATTCAGTATTTTACTATCTCTATTCAATTGTTTTGCAGTCTAACAGACATTAACATACTAAGTGCATGAAGTTTGTTAGATTTTCTGCCATCCAGACAACATGCTTATATATTATAGCTGGGCAGCCTGGGCCATATATATTTTAGCTTGTTTGGGATTTACTAAAAGGTCTCTATTATGTTTTTCAACCTGAAAATTATTTTGTTAAGACATAACTTAGTTTTACAGTGAGAGTCTACACTACAGAAGAGATTGTTCCATGTGTTCTATTTGGGCATATAATACTAGCCATTTTTGTCATGGATAATGGAATTTTATAAGTACATAATTCATTTCAGAGAAATGAAGATTGAACAAGAGAGAATTGAGGCAGAAAAAAGGCGGGTATGAGTGCCCACTTGTGCATACGTATTGCCAGTTAATTATTACTACGTATTTTATTTTACGTACACTGGCAAACAATTTTATAAAACATTGCCTTGATATATACTTAAATCGGTTTAATATTGCATTCAGGTTAAAGAAGAAGCACAACAACTTGCTCTAACTTTTGAAACTGTTGGAGGCTTTAAAGTAAAACGCAAGAGTGGGAAAGGAAAACAAATATTCGGAAGGTGATTTAGAATATTATTTTCAGCTATATAAGATTATAGTTGCCATAGTGCCCTTTCTGGTGTATCCTGGGGTTGCGTTGTTATTCACTTGTGTGAGTGTGAATATTTTACAGTGTCACTGCCCAAGATCTTGTGGATGTAATTAAGGCACAACTTCAAAGGTATGATTCCCTGATAAACTCTTTAGTATGGACAAGTGAACCTGATATACAGAAAGAAATTGAAAATTACTAAAGAAATATGGTCTCTCAGTCTCACCTTTAAAAGTTCCTGAATTCAGGTTTGTTAGGAACATCGGAAATACTTAGAAAGGATGGGAAATACTTAGGAAGGATTTTGGAGAAAACCATAGTAGGAAATTGGAAGGAAAGAAAACGTGTCGGAAAAAAAGTGATAGGTTAAAACCCGATCAATTTGTTATAAATATTTGTTTACAGTTGTGTTGCTTATTTATTTCTGTTTTATAAACAATAAGAATTATAAAAATATACATTCTCACTATCCCCCAATTATGTTCCCACTTTAACTACCAGGCATATTTTGGCAACAATGGCAAGCCAATATTTTGTTGTTGACTTGCAAACTTTGCCCCTGCTTTATTGTTTGATGGAGAATTTTTGGCACATTATTGTCTTTTCATAATTTTCCATCATTTGCAATGGAGCCAAAGATTCATTATTTTTTGGCTTGAGATTATGATGGAATAAAACAAAATGGCTCACTAAACTGTCTGCGCTTCTTTGTTATGAAGCAGCAGTCAGTCCATGCAATTTTGGACGGGATTTTCACTATGGGTCATCCGGAAACAGTCTCTCTGTGCTTTAGTACAAGGGTAAGACTGCGTACATCCGATCCCCCCTTACCCCACCGTAGGTGGGAGCCTTTGCGGCACTGGGGTAAATGAAAATGAAAAAATGAAAATGAATATTGTCTTTTCATACTTAAAAGCATGTCTTTTATACAAATGATAACTTAATAAGGGGACATCAATAAAAGGAACATGGTAACCCATTTGGGAGAGAGAGAGGGAGTATACAGAATCTTAAAAGAAGCAATCATAAAAGAAAACCGAAGGAAAGAGCTTTCCCTATCATTCTGTGTGTTTTTCAAGCATTTACATGGATACAAACATACTCTTAATGATGGGGGATGAAATACTGGAAAAACAGTGTTCTTTCGGGTTGATATCCATTTTGTAACTCAGATCATGTTGTGATGGCATTCACTGTTTAAAATGTGGTTGGTATGCTGGTGTATGTAGAATCATTGGCACGACTATCTTATATATCCATATTTTTAAATGTAGGGATGTGGACAAAAGAACAGTCTCTCTTCCCGAGATTCGTGAAACAGGGGAGTATACTGCTGAAATCAAGCTTCATCCAGAAGTAATAGCGCGAGTTAAAGTGATTGTGTACGGCAATTGAACACACAAACTTGCAGGAATAATTTACACTATTTCATGATGTTTCTTCTTGATCCGTTTTGTCAAGGTACATTTTCTTTTGAAAGTGGAAGTCTTTAATGCTCCCATCTGTTGGTAGATCATATGATTATGGTTTGCTGATGTTATGGCTAACTTGATGCTACTTACTGGAATTAATTGTCGAGAACTGTTGTGCAATCTGTAATCTGTGCCAAATATCTGCAAAGTGGGTAATCTTCTACCAAATCTATAAGTTTAAATGATTAATATTTTGACTAAGAAGATTAAAAATGATCACAACAAAATAGTATTAAAGACTTCAGAAATTACATCTATCTCACTATAAGCACAAGTGTCTAGGTTTGTAAATTTGCATACATGGCAATGGTTTCCTGGATAAAGACATAAAGTACTCATTTGAAAATAACTACTATCCATTAAGAGCATGCATTCAAAATCTCATCCAAGGGCGAGATCGAACGAATGAAAGAGAAGGGAAGTTGTGTGGATGGATCCTTTGGATCTATGGTTTTGAACACCGAGAGAAAATTAAACAAAATGCTTAAGTTGGAATTGACCCAATGCCCTACCTAGTTGAGACAAAGTGCCTTATTTAATAATATCGAGAACCCTTATATGGCTACTACAAGAGTCTCAATCATAAAAGGAAACATCAAGCTGTAGAGTAATAGAGGCTGGCTAAAACTAAATAAGGAAACAACAGTTATACGATTAATAGAAACGTAGACAAACCCAATTTAGAACTGGTATTGGGCCCTCTTGCGGTGCTGGTATGGTCAGCCCCGTAATGCGTCGATAACATAATCTTGTGCCAATGCATTTTCAAACTTTTTGAGTTTTAATTGTGTATGCAAGATGTAGCTTTTAGGGTAAAATATCTAAAAAAGAGTAAAACATAGAAAACTACCTAACCCCTACATTTGCAAATGTAAATATGAATAAAAATAGGACGGTGGCGATCATGAGATAAAAATATGACCAAGTATTTCAGAATACTAAGAAAGATTAAACATAATTTACCTTCACTCAAATAAAGTTTCTTTTTAAAAATAAAAAAGTAAAATTAGTTTACAACCACAAGTCAAAAGACACTGGCCACCACCACTGGTTGCAGGTGGTCTTCAACAGATCCTAGTGGCCATTAACGCATCCCAGCCACCTTTGCATATTTCCTACGAACACCTATGAGTTTTTGCAAAATTGTGTCCACTCTTAACATTGTTGCACATTGTCACTCCTAAAACTCAAATTCTTAATACTATCCCCCTTAACATTGTCATTCTTCGCAATGTCACTCTTAACATGACCATTGCCACGCAATCCACTCTATTCCTAACGTTGCTACTCTACCACTATTAACAGTGTCACTGTGTCCCCTTGCCAACATGTACATCGTTATCAATGTCACTCTGTTGGACTCCGACCATCACCGCTCTTCGTTCTTGTTGTAATATGCGCACATAATAATGTCATTGTTAGAATACTGAAATAGACACTGACGAGACAAGGATTCTGACAGTAATAGATCTAAAAATAATAGTGTTATATATAAAGAGAATCAGTACAGTCGTATCTTTTTTATGCGTAAGTTAACAATGTACTTGATGGCGAACAGTGGCGGAGCCACTCTTGTTCAAGGTTGTATTATTTCTATACCTACGGTAACAATTTACATGGTGGCAAACAGTGGCGGAACCACTCTTGTTCAAGGTCATATCATTTTTATAGTTTATACCTAAGTTAACAGTGTTTCCATCATTTGCAATGGAGCCAAAGATTCATTATTTTTTGGCTTGAGATTATGATGGAATAAAGCAAAATGGCTCACTAAACTGTTTGCGCTTCTTTGTCATGAAGCAGCAGTCAGTCCATGCAATTTTGGACGGGATTTTCACTATGGGTCATTCGGAAACAGTCTCTCTGTGCTTTAGTACAGGGGTAAGATTGCGTACATCCGACCCCCCCTTACCCCACCGTAGGTGGGAGCCTTTGCGGCACTGGGGTAAATGAAAATGAAAATGAAAATACCTAAGTTAACCGTGTACATGAGTACATGACTATATGGTGGCGCGATTGGCGAAGTAGACATGGACAATGTTAACAGTAGTAGATTGGCAATCTTAGAATTGGAATGGATAGCATGATAGTGTAGTGAGTCTCAATGTTATGAGTGACAGTGTGAAGACTTAGGAGTGATGATAATCTTAAGTGTGGCTTTGGTAGGAATGAGAAATTTACAGGCACACAATGTTAGGAATTGTCAGAATCTTGCAGGAATCCAAGGCTAGTCACAAGAATCCGGTGAAGATGGCCGGAATTTAGTGGTGCTTTGTTTATGTTGCTTCTATCTAAAACCATTTTTATAGCTTTTCATGTTCTCGGATCAGGTTTTAACTCTGATTTGATTTACCTAATCAAATTAACCAAACTGGACACGTTTGGTATATTTCGAGTAAAAACTGATCATATCTGTATCTTTATTGGATTTGATTTGGTTGTACATTTGGCATTGTTTGATTTCTTGGCCTTATATTTGGAAGATATATATACGGTCTAGTCAAATGAAATACGGAGTACTTATCCGTGTCGTGAGAGAAGAAAAAAAGCACTAGACTGAGGTAAGCAATTGGATCACTCCTCCTAAAGACAGAAGTGCATGTCAGATAGATATGCTTATCGGATGATGGAATCCTGCTAATAAAGCACTTACTAGAAGAATAGTATTATGTTTTCAAACTTCTATTTAGATAATCTTTTTTTTTTCACTACCCCCTCTGTCCCTAAACAGAAGCCAAATTCGATGGAGCAGTGCGATAAATTTAAAGCTGTCTTTAGATTTATTCAGGGAGAAAACTATGTACCACAAAATACTTTATTGTTTTAGAAAGAAAATGAGAAGATTAATTAGGAACCATGGGAGTATAGTACGACTTTGTGGATAGAAGAGTATTCTTTTAAACTCCTCATGAGCCCATCCTATGTTATTTTAAGAATAAAGAATTCCTCACAATACTCGTGGTAGGAACATCAAGTCTTATCTTCTATCTTGAGAGATTTAGTGAAATGTTTCACATTATACCAATGTTCTAAATAGCATTAGCGTTAGGCGTAATGCAGGGTGAGTAGTGCCCAAATGTGGCCTTAGTGCAGTCACATGGAGTGTATGCGAAGTTAGGGGTCAATTCTTTAAAAAAATACAGGTAGTCAAAGGAAGCACAGTGCTATGCAGAGATTTCTTGAGCAGATTATTTTACATTGTGATACTTGAAGAAAACTGTGAATACTCCCTCCGAAGCAAAATATTTTACATTGTGGAACTAGAAGAAAAGTGTGAATACTCCTAAGGAAAATATTTTAAACTAAAAAAGTTAAGTTTCAACATACAAAATATTCGTTTGGCAAAAAAAAGTCCAGTTTTATCAATTTTGTGAAAAACTTATGTACAAATCAGATGCGAATATGCGATACATTTGGTTAAACCAACAAATAAGTTTTACAAATATAAATATCATTCCGTGACTAGTTTTAACAATTGTACCTTGATAAAACTCATAAAAGTAAAAAGATCCATCTTGACCAAACAGGACTCTTGTTTTTGGATGGAGTTGGAAACAAGGAGGATTCCTCTTACATTATTACAACTATGAGACCTAAGCTATAGCTTAGTATAGGGAACCCAAAAATAGTGTGGTTCCCTGCAAAAGGCCAAAAATGACAACTAACAAGGGCTGCAAAAATTGAAGTATATTTATGTTCTTTCTTAAAATGTATGTGTTCCAAAAACTGTGTTTGCAATTATACTAATTTCTTGTAGTTTTCGATGTAACTTTTTTTTTACTACCATTGTGGTGTTAAATGTTCGATTTCACATATTTACTTATGAACATTTCCATTTTAATCTGTAGAGAGGGAGGACACTGTTACAGGCAACAAATATCTGATCAAGCTGCATTTACCAGGTCCCAAATCTGTAAGTACAATTATTATTTTCTCATTCCATTTGTTTCATGGACTCGATCCTCCTTACAATTAACGAGATGCTTTTCCCAATGTAATACTAAAACAATTAACTGCTTGCTATGAACTGGCATCAGATCTTTCCTTGTATCAATATCTTTGTCACAATCTGTGATTCTAAATTAGATGAATGGTCCTTCCCAAGTGGAAAAGAATGGTTTGCAATAGCCAAGTCAGATTTGATGCTGACTCTTTGCTTTTGTCTACTTTGCTGTCTTTCTCATAGCAAAAATGAAGAGTCAAAGCCCTTTCTTCTTTGTCATCATTGACATCAATTACTCTGCCTCTGCAACCATATTCATAGTTTCTTATGCTCTAAACTTACTCTCATTTTCTCTATCCATTGCCAAATTGCCTTGGTAATTCTCAAGTGTGAGGCAATTGGGATCTTTTTAAATAAAAAAAAAACCTCACTCTAATTAAACCCTCACACTAATAAAACAAGTCTTTTAGAAAGGACAACTCTTATGCCATATCACCTTCATATTTTTTGGTCCCCTCAGATCACCTTCATACAGTCATCCACAACTCACAGAAAATAAAATAAAAAAATATTCAGTGTTTTTAATGTGTTAAGCAGCTGTGGTTGATGAAGGGTACGAAACTGTTCTATCAAGTATATTAAGTGGTATTTGGTAGTTTTATATTTTGCCTTATTAACTAGACTAGACTAGATCTCATACCATACACTAGTTTATTATCTTTTTGCACTAAATTGGTTGAGAATCGTAAAAAGTGAGGTTGGACATATTTATTATTTATGTTGTTCAAATAATTGAAATTACTCAAGAAGCTTTGTGAGGATTAAGAAAGGTAAAGATCGAACAAATGAAATTGTTATCACAACTTTATTACAACTTTAAAATTTCATACTACAACTTACACTACAGAAAAAGACCCTTATCGCTTTTGAGCCTGTTGTTGAAGCATTGAATATGGAGAATGATTGAATATGAATCAGCTTCTATTAGTTTTGGAAGATAGCTGAGTAGCTCCCTCCTAATGAAAGTCAAATTAAGGTTGGTTTGTTATTACTCCCTCTACCACTCTATCCCTATTTCTTTTCCCAACTTTTTTTTTGTTTGGCTATCAAAAAGATCTTTTTATGTTCCCTCTTTATCACAAATCACAATAAGTGTTTCACTTTCCTTTTTAATTCGTATCATAATAAGAATTTCACTTTCAATTTTGGAAATAAATCCATCTCAAGAGCAGCTACTGTTGTACCAAAAATCTCGTACTTTTTCAAAAGGTGTACTATAAACTTATAAATTATTTTAAATTACGTGAAAAGCCTATGGAACACTTATTCTAATATGAAGGGTTAAATTGTACCCGAGTAAGTTGCAACTACACATTTTTTATTTATTATTCTGTTTCTTCGTCAAACTTAGCAAACGATTTGAATACCCTACGGAGAAAACACAATATTTTGGGTTGAATGATATTAGTTTAACTGTATAATAAGGTGCCACCCAACCCATGTTAGCTTATTTAAATAACAATGTTAACAAATTGACTTATATATATCCACTCAAAGAATTTTAATTAAGTCTTAATGATAAGTGCATGATAATGGTCAGCTCTTAATGATATTTTAGGACTTAATTATATATCATTAAGACTTAGCTAGATGCACTTATCCTGGGAACTATATGGGTTTTGTCTTACCCTTATTCCTATAATATGATATACGTAGTATATAATGTTTACAAAATTGGAACTAGTGGATAACAGGATAAGTATCATTGTTGTTATTTTAATAATAATGATTTTGATGGTAATCATGATGATATAGTAATACTAAATGTTATCAAATGTTTTTAGTTGGAATGAAATTTTCTGGTCTGCCTTGAACTGATCTGGTTTGTTCCGATGGATATTTGATCTATGAGTAATTTACAATTGTTAAAGTCTGGTCCGGTCTAATCTGGTCTAGGTCGGGACTGAAATAAGTCTAAGTATCTTTGTAATTATTAATTAAACTATTAATGGTATTAATAGTTTTGGAGAAATTGTAACACCAACCGAATTGAAGTAGTAGATCGAAGTGAATGAAGTATGAACTGAATGACACACATACACATGCAATGCCGCATTCACCTTCAATTCTTCACTTGAAATAATACTCAAATTAGTTAATTAATTAGTTGGGTGTGTGAGGCGCCAGATGGGCTTGTTCCCCACTGCCTACTGGCTATCTAAGCATCACTCCACAAGAAGTAAGGAAAAACTAATTTAAAAAGAGAGAACATATTCAAGAAAATACGTACCAGTCAAGAAACCACAAAGATTTAAATAATATTTTCTTATTTAACTTATTGATTATACTGCCCACACTTTTAATTTATTCTTGGAGTTTATGTGGGGTATGTTTGGCACAACCAGTTGAAAAGATATTTTTTTGAACTTTTTAATAACTGTTAGCTTTTAGTGACTGAAAAGATTTTGAAGAAAAAAAGTGGTAGCTGTTTGGTAAAAAGCTTACTGTTTGATTTAGTTCGATTTGGTATACAAGCTGTTAAGATTAATTGATACTAAAAGTCACGGGTTTTTTTCAGATACTACTCTCTGTGGCATCTCAAAAAAAGATCTTTTAGTTTTTGAAAACCTCTTAAAAATTGTCATGTCAAACATATAACTAGAAGCTTTTAGAGACTTTTTGAACAATACAGAAGCTAGAAGGTAGAGACTTATACCTGTCAAACATAGCCGTGAAACAATCACTAACGTGACATGCTAATTGCTCATTATCTACGCTGAAAGGGAGGACAATATGAACTTAATTATATGTTTATAGTTTGAGCTTATCTCATAAAATTAATAAAGGGAACATTTTATTTTAACAAATTCAGTTCAATTTCGAGCTGTGATATATTTTCAACAAATCTAGTTTGATTCCATCATGTTAGACCGTCAAACTTAATTGTTCACCTGTGCACTCCATGTCAGCATCAACATGTATGGGATGTTCATATATACAACTTGTAATTATCGACAATTTATTTCTTTTTTGAGTGTTGAGCTTGAAAATACTAAAGGTCTAAAGGGATGAGTCTTAATTACATGTTGACTGTTGATCCACAATTAATATTATTATGAATAGCGGTAAAATATAATGCAAACAATTATTTTTTCCGTTTTATGAAGATTATTTGGGTAGGTCCAAAATAACTCTACACTTCTTTCTTCATTCCTTATTTGACAAATTATCTACACCAAAACAGTGCAAAACAGTACCAAACAGTGTCACAACAGTGTACTCTACAGTAAAGTCAAATTTATTTCCTTAGTTTGTGAAGTCAAAGTGTGAAGTTTATTTAGGACCGGAGGGAGTACTTTTTTTTCGTTCTTAATAGTTGCAACATTGTATTTTTTAAGTTATTCACATCTTACCAAAATTTTCTAATACTATATATAATCAAGTTATTATGTATAAAATTTTAGTAAATTTCTTTTAAATGTAAATTTCCGCAATGTTAACTTTTTATTATGTTTATTCATACATAATTAAATATATTTACATTTAAAATTATGAATTATGAACGTAAAAGTAAATTGTTGCAATTATTAAAGAATGGAGAATACGTGAAGAAGGATATAGGAAGAAGTAAGACGTTTTCTAAAGTGATATACGTAGTATCTATGGACTATGGTAGTCGCCCACTACATGTGCAAATCCCTATGAATCGTCCGCCTCTATCTATTCTTCTATTATTATTATTACCTCCTAAACGTGCCCACATGTTTGGCTTACCAATATAATAATAATGAGATTTGTATATGATTTTTATATACGGACAGATAAAAATCTATAATGAGGAGTGATCAATTTTAATAACATGAATAGGATCAGATAAATCAGATGTGTTTAATGTCATATGTCCCAAATATAAGAATAATGTGTTGTTTTTCTCTATGGAAACCAAATGTTCCGCAATTTCCCTTATACATAATACGTACAGTGTAATAGGGGTGAAAATGAGACGGGCCGTTCGGTCAAAACTTGAATCTGGTCAAACTCGAGCTCAAACTGAGCTCGAACTGGCTCGTTAATATATGTGTATAGTATTTTATATGTGTATATATTTATATTAATATATATAATATATTAATATACAACATAAATTAATATATAATATATATATATGTATATATAATATGTAATATAACTTAATATATGTATATAATACTGATTCGAAAATGTATATGAGGACCGGGGAGATATTATTAATTATAGAACTAACAAATATAATCAAAGTTTCATCCACTATTTTTTTATGGTTTGACCACTTTTGATTTATAAATAGTATAAGAAGTACAATTGGGTGGAGACTTGAAGTTAGGATTATATTTTATTTATTTTTCGTTCCCGTAACCAGGGGTGGAGCCAGGAGGTGAGGGTAGGGGGGGGGGGGGGGGGAATGCTACTCCTCTTAATATTTTATTAAATTAGTATACCAATTTTTTCTTATAATTTTTTTATATTAGATACTTTAAGACGAATATCTCCAATACTACTCCATAATATATTGTTAATAATATATTTTTACATACGGAATGTCGGGTATTATTTATGGGGTAATAATCACTTCTTCAAAATATAGTGTTGTTATAGATTAATATTTTCCAAAATGACTACTTCTAGAATATATAATGTTTTTATACATATGATATTTTAATGAAGTATTAAAAAATTATAAATGTAGTACAGAGTATAACTATAAACATATTTCGAACTACTATACTACTACAGGAAATACAAATTGGGGGGGGGGGGGGGGGGGGGAGGGGATAAATTACAAGCTAATAATAAAAAATAAAAATGTTGGGAGGAGCAATGGCCCCCCTAGACATATACATAGTTCCGCCCCTGCCCGTAACTCTAGTTTCAGTTAAATTATCATGGTTTGACCACTTTTAATTTATTTTGAACAATATTTACTCTATTTTTAATTGTTGGGCATGTAAATTGCAATTTACAAATGTTAAGCACAAATATTTGAAGATTGTTTCATACGTGAGCTCGAATTTGAACCAGAACTTTCAAGCTAATCGAATTTGTAACTTTTGAATTGACGACCCAAAATTACCGAGCTGAATTGAACCATACCAATATTTGCGAGTCGAGCTCGAGTCTAGATTTTTAAGCTCGTTCAAGCCGAACTCGAGCTCGAGCCAATACAATATATTTCGAGCTCAAACTTACATAGATTCGGGCTTCCCGGATATTCATAAAAGCTTACGTCGACGACCAAAGTC